CATGGCTACATAAGAGTGTAGAGTGGCCACAGGACGCGTCATCAGCCTACGTCATCAGCCTACGTCATCAGCCTACGTCAGCAGCCTACGTCAGCAGCCTACGTCATCAGCCTACGTCAGCAGCCTACGTCAGCAGCCTACGTCAGCAGCCTACGTCATCAGCCTACGTCATCAGCCTACGTCAGCAGCCTACGTCAGCAGCCTACGTCAGCAGCCGCGGACTGCTATGAAAACATTAGCTTTGTGGTTTCACAGGCGCAGTTGACTGCTTAAACTAAACTTTGCACGAAACTTTGACTCTTAAAACCCACATGTGACAAAACTGAATCATCAACATATCGCCTCAAATTGCATTAAAAGTGACATTCGTGTCTTAATTCGTTCGTATTTCAACTTTTAAAGAAATTCACGGTCCGCCATCTTGGTTTGCTTCGGCTGCCGTGAGACGCGCATGCGCAGGTTTGCATTACATCATAAACAGCTGAGGCAGTGCATCTCTTCAAGACAGTGTATCTCAGCGTTACACCGGCTTGCACTTCTCTAACACGGCACTTGCATTGCTACCGCTCGCCGCCATCTTTGTTTTGTGTGTGACGCACCGACGCGCATATTATACGTCGGTGTATTTTTTGCGTCGACGTCACCGATTACGTTGACGCGTTGTCCCAGCCCTAATTACAATGTTTGTAGCAGAGGCTATTTCCCCAAAATAAAATAACCAGAAGAGCCTATTCTTAATGTTGTCTTCTTGGTTATTATTTTGGGGGGGGCCACGCAGACCCGTCAGATTTTTAAGGGGGCCTCGGTGTTACTGAGTTTGGGAATGGCTGCCATACATCAATGCTTCCAATGTAATAATACATTAATAACTGAAAATCATGTGGAGCCACTAATGATAATTGTAGTAAATAAAAGCAGAATAAATGGACTCACAAGGCACGGCGTGACGGTACAGGTTGTCCCGGATGGTCTGCTGCAGCTCGTGATCCGGCGAAGACTTCTGGAAACGAAGACTCAGGTAGTGCTTGAGGTCTTTGTTCAGCTTATTTCCTAAACACAGACACAACAGAACACGTGGTCAGTCCTAAACACAGACACAAACACAAAATGTGCTCACAGGTCTGTCCAAACAGGCTGTAAAACAGCTGCAGTACATTCAAAATGCAGCAGCTCGAGTCCTGACTAGAACCAGGAAGTACGACCACATTAGTCCTGACTAGAACCAGGAAGTACGACCACATTAGTCCTGACTAGAACCAGGAAGTACGACCACATTAGTCCTGACTAGAACCAGGAAGTATGACCACATTAGTCCTGACTAGAACCAGGAAGTACGACCACATTAGTCCTGACTAGAACCAGGAAGTACGACCACATTAGTCCTGACTAGAACCAGGAAGTACGACCACATTAGTCCTGACTAGAACCAGGAAGTACGACCACATTAGTCCTGACTAGAACCAGGAAGTACGACCACATTAGTCCTGACTAGAACCAGGAAGTACGACCACATTAGTCCAGTCCTCAGGTCTCTGCACTGGCTTCCTGTGGCTCAGAGAATAGACTTTAAAACAGCTCTGCTTGTTACAAGTCTCTCCATGGCCTCGCACCAAAATATATTAGTGACATGTTAGTCCCATATGAACCAGCCCGGACTCTGAGGAGCACAGGGACTGGACTCCTGCTGGGACTCTGAGGAGCACAGGGACTGGCCTCCTGCTGGGACTCTGAGGAGCACAGGGACTGGACTCCTGCTGGGACTCTGAGGAGCACAGGGACTGGACTCCTGCTGGGACTCTGAGGAGCACAGGGACTGGACTCCTGCTGGGACTCTGAGGAGCACAGGGACTGGACTCCTGCTGGGACTCTGAGGAGCACAGGGACTGGACTCCTGCTGGGACTCTGAGGAGCACAGGGACTGGACTCCTGCTGGGACTCTGAGGAGCACAGGGACTGGACTCCTGCTGGGACTCTGAGGAGCACAGGGACTGGACTCCTGCTGGGACTCTGAGGAGCACAGGGACTGGACTCCTGCTGGGACTCTGAGGAGCACAGGGACTGGACTCCTGCTGGGACTCTGAGGAGCACAGGGACTGGACTCCTGCTGGGACTCTGAGGAGCACAGGGACTGGACTCCTGCTGGGACTCTGAGGAGCACAGGGACTGGACTCCTGCTGGGACTCTGAGGAGCACAGGGACTGGACTCCTGCTGGGACTCTGAGGAGCACAGGGACTGGACTCCTGCTGGGACTCTGAGGAGCACAGGGACTGGACTCCTGCTGGGACTCTGAGGAGCACAGGGACTGGACTCCTGCTGGGACTCTGAGGAGCACAGGGACTGGACTCCTGCTGGGACTCTGAGGAGCACAGGGACTGGACTCCTGCTGGGACTCTGAGGAGCACAGGGACTGGACTCCTGCTGGGACTCTGAGGAGCACAGGGACTGGACTCCTGCTGGGACTCTGAGGAGCACAGGGACTGGACTCCTGCTGGGACTCTGAGGAGCACAGGGACTGGACTCCTGCTGGGACTCTGAGGAGCACAGGGACTGGACTCCTGCTGGGACTCTGAGGAGCACAGGGACTGGACTCCTGCTGGGACTCTGAGGAGCACAGGGACTGGACTCCTGCTGGGACTCTGAGGAGCACAGGGACTGGACTCCTGCTGGGACTCTGAGGAGCACAGGGACTGGACTCCTGCTGGGACTCTGAGGAGCACAGGGACTGGACTCCTGCTGGGACTCTGAGGAGCACAGGGACTGGACTCCTGCTGGGACTCTGAGGAGCACAGGGACTGGACTCCTGCTGGGACTCTGAGGAGCACAGGGACTGGACTCCTGCTGGGACTCTGAGGAGCACAGGGACTGGACTCCTGTTAGTGCCCAGAGTCAGAACTAAACATGGGGAGGCTGCTTTTCAGATTCATGCTGCTAAAATCTGGAACAGTCTTCCTGAAGATGTGAGACAGGCCTCCTCTCTGACAATGTTTAAAACCAGGTTAAAGACAGTTCTGTTTAGCTGTGCTACAACTGAGGGATTTTATATTTTTATCTTTCTTTTTAATGTTCTGTGATTATTTATGATTTTAATGCTTTCTTGTTTTGTTCAGCACTTTGAGTTGCCTTGATATGAATTGTGATATATAAATAAACTTGCCTTGCCTTGCATTGTCAGTACTAAACACAAAATGTGGTCAGTCCTAAACACAGACACAACATGTGGTCAGTCCTAAACACAGACACAACATGTGGTCAGTCCTAAACACAGACACAACATGTCCTAAACACAGACACAACATGTGGTCAGTCCTAAACACAGACACAACATGTGGTCAGTCCTAAACACAGACACAAAATGTGGTCAGTCCTAAACACAGACACAACATGTGGTCAGTCCTAAACACAGACACAACATGTCCTAAACACAGACACAACATGTGGTCAGTCCTAAACACAATCAGAACCCTTTAAACCTTTAATGGTTTCCTCGACCATTTGGTGGATCGTCTTTCAGGGCATCTCACCTGGTTTTAGGCACTTTTACCATCAAACTGCACTCAACCAGGCCTATAATTATAAAAATGGGGATCAAATAAAAACTAAAAACTAATTATGTGTGTTATTAGTGCTACATGTGAGAAAATCCAATAAGGAAAATAACCCATTGCTTTCTTCAAGGAGTGAATGTTAAAGGGTTAATCTGGATCAATGTTACACAGTGTGAAACCACAACACTATTTTGGTTCCACAAAGAAAAACACAAAGTGACGACATAAAAACACAACAAAGCTGTGCGTGACCAAGAGTTGTGCGTTTGCCAAGAGTTGTGCGTTTGCCATCGTCACTTGTGGAGAGTCTGGCTGCGCTCGCACACCGTAACCAGCCCGACTGCTAGCATCACGGTGGCTACGGGAAGCAAGCCCCCGACCGCTAGGCCATCTGGAGTGTGTGTGTGTGTGTGTGTGTGTGTGTGTACGACCAAACCACTACACAACTATGACCAAAGCAACTACACAACTACGACCAAAGCAACTACACAACTATGACCAAACCACTACACAACTCCGACCAAACCACTACACAACTACGATCAAACCACTACACAACTATGACAAACCACTACACAACTACAACCAAACCACTACACAACTCTGACCAAAGCAACTACACAACTATGACCAAAGCAACTACACAACTAGGACCAAACCACTACACAACTACGACCAAACCACTACACAACTATGACAAACCACTACACAACTATGACAAACCACTACACAACTACGACCAAACTACTACACAACGACGCCCAAACCACTACACAACTACGACCAAACCATTACACAACTGTGACCAAAGCAACTACACAACTCCGACCAAACCATAACACAACTCCGACCAAACCACTACACAACTCCGACCAAACCACTACACAACTATGACAAACCACTACACAACTACGACCAAACCACTACACAACTACGACCAAACCACTACACAACTACGACCAAACCACTACACAACTATGACAAACCACTACACAACTATGACAAACTACTACACAACTACGACCAAACCACTACACAACTATGACAAACAACTACACAACTACGCCCAAACCACTACACAACTATGACCAAACCATTACACAACTGTGACCAAAGCAACTACACAACTCCGACCAAACCACTACACAACTCCGACCAAACCACTACACAACTATGACAAACCACTACACAACTACGACCAAACCACTACACAACTACGACCAAACCACTACACAACTACGACCAAACCACTACACAACTACGACAAACCACTACACAACTACGACCAAACCACTACACAACTACGACCAAACCACTACACAACTACGACCAAACCACTACACAACTATGACAAACCACTACACAACTCCGACCAAACCACTACACAACTATGACAAACCACTACACAACTATGACAAACAACTACACAACTCCGACCAAACCACTACACAACTATGACAAACCACTACACAACTACGACCAAACCACTACACAACTATGACAAACCACGACACAACTACGACCAAACCACTACACAACTACGACCAAACCACTACACAACTATGACAAACCACTATACAACTACGACCAAACCACTACACAACTATGACGAACCACGACACAACTGCGACCAAACCACTACACAACTACGATCAAACCACTACACAACTATGACAAACCACTACACGACTACAACCAAACCACTACACAACTCTGACCAAAGCAACTACACAACTATGACCAAAGCAACTACACAACTAGGACCAAACCACTACACAACTAGGACCAAACCACTACACAACTACGACCAAACCACTACACAACTACGACCAAACCACTACACAACTACGACCAAACCACTACACAACTGTGACCAAAGCAACTACACAACTCCGACCAAACCACTACACAACTCTGACCAAAGCAACTACACAACTATGACCAAAGCAACTACACAACTAGGACCAAACCACTACACAACTACGACCAAACCACTACACAACTACGACCAAACCACTACACAACTACGACCAAACCACTACACAACTACGACCAAACCACTACACAACTATGACAAACCACTACACAACTATGACAAACCACTACACAACTACGACCAAACCACTACACAACTACGACCAAACCACTACACAACTATGACCAAAGCAACTACACAACTACGACCAAAGCAACTACACAACTATGACCAAACCACTACACAACTCCGACCAAACCACTACACAACTCTGACCAAAGCAACTACACAACTATGACCAAAGCAACTACACAACTAGGACCAAACCACTACACAACTACGACCAAACCACTACACAACTACGACCAAACCACTACACAACTACGACCAAACCACTACACAACTATGACAAACCACTACACAACTATGACAAACCACTACACAACTATGACAAACCACTACACAACTATGACAAACCACTACACAACTACGACCAAACTACTACACAACTACGCCCAAACCACTACACAACTACGACCAAACCATTACACAACTGTGACCAAAGCAACTACACAACTCCGACCAAACCATAACACAACTCCGACCAAACCACTACACAACTCCGACCAAACCACTACACAACTATGACAAACCACTACACAACTATGACAAACCACTACACAACTATGACAAACCACTACACAACTACGACCAAACCACTACACAACTACGACCAAACCACTACACAACTACGACCAAACCACTACACAACTACGACCAAACCACTACACAACTATGACAAACCACTACACAACTACGACCAAACCACTACACAACTATGACAAACCACTACACAACTACGACCAAACCACTACACAACTATGACGAACCACGACACAACTGCGACCAAACCACTACACAACTACGATCAAACCACTACACAACTATGACAAACCACTACACAACTACAACCAAACCACTACACAACTCTGACCAAAGCAACTACACAACTATGACCAAAGCAACTACACAACTAGGACCAAACCACTACACAACTACGACCAAACCACTACACAACTATGACAAACCACTACACAACTATGACAAACCACTACACAACTACGACCAAACTACTACACAACGACGCCCAAACCACTACACAACTACGACCAAACCATTACACAACTGTGACCAAAGCAACTACACAACTCCGACCAAACCATAACACAACTCCGACCAAACCACTACACAACTCCGACCAAACCACTACACAACTCCGACCAAACCACTACACAACTATGACAAACCACTACACAACTACGACCAAACCACTACACAACTACGACCAAACCACTACACAACTACGACCAAACCACTACACAACTATGACAAACCACTACACAACTATGACAAACTACTACACAACTACGACCAAACCACTACACAACTACGACCAAACCACTACACAACTATGACAAACCACTACACAACTATGACAAACTACTACACAACTACGACCAAACCACTACACAACTATGACAAACCACTACACAACTATGACAAACCACTACACAACTCCGACCAAACCACTACACAACTATGACAAACCACTACACAACTATGACAAACAACTACACAACTATGACAAACAACTACACAACTCCGACCAAACCACTACACAACTATGACAAACCACTACACAACTACGACCAAACCACTACACAACTATGACAAACCACGACACAACTACGACCAAACCACTACACAACTCTGACCAAAGCAACTACACAACTATGACCAAAGAAACTACACAACTAGGACCAAACCACTACACAACTACGACCAAACCACTACACAACTATGACAAACCACTACACAACTAGGACCAAACCACTACACAACTACGACCAAACCACTACACAACTATGACAAACCACTACACAACTATGACAAACCACTACACAACTACGACCAAACTACTACACAACTACGCCCAAACCACTACACAACTACGACCAAACCATTACACAACTGTGACCAAAGCAACTACACAACTCCGACCAAACCATAACACAACTCCGACCAAACCACTACACAACTCCGACCAAACCACTACACAACTACGACCAAACCACTACACAACTACGACAAACCACTACACAACTACGACCAAACCACTACACAACTACGACCAAACCACTACACAACTATGACAAACCACTACACAACTATGACAAACTACTACACAACTACGACCAAACCACTACACAACTATGACCAAACCACTACACAACTATGACAAACCACTACACAACTACGACCAACCACTACACAACTATGACGAACCACGACACAACTGCGACCAAACCACTACACAACTATGACAAACCACTACACAACTATGACAAACTACTACACAACTACGACCAAACCACTACACAACTATGACCACTACACAACTATGACCAAACCATTACACAACTGTGACCAAAGCAACTACACAACTCCGACCAAACCATAACACAACTCCGACCAAACCACTACACAACTCCGACCAAACCACTACACAACTATGACAAACCACTACACAACTATGACAAACCACTACACAACTACGACCAAACCACTACACAACTACGACCAAACCACTACACAACTACGACCAAACCACTACACAACTACGACCAAACCACTACACAACTACGACCAAACCACTACACAACTACGACCAAACCACTACACAACTACGACCAAACCACTACACAACTATGACAAACCACTACACAACTCCGACCAAACCACTACACAACTATGACAAACCACTACACAACTATGACAAACAACTACACAACTCCGACCAAACCACTACACAACTATGACAAACCACTACACAACTACGACCAAACCACTACACAACTATGACAAACCACGACACAACTACGACCAAACCACTACACAACTACGACCAAACCACTACACAACTATGACAAACCACTACACAACTATGACAAACTACTACACAACTACGACCAAACCACTACACAACTATGACCAAACCACTACACAACTATGACAAACCACTACACAACTACGACCAAACCACTACACAACTATGACGAACCACGACACAACTGCGACCAAACCACTACACAACTATGACAAACCACTACACAACTATGACAAACTACTACACAACTACGACCAAACCACTACACAACTATGACGAACCACGACACAACTGCGACCAAACCACTACACAACTACGATCAAACCACTACACAACTACGACCAAACCACTACACAACTACGACCAAACCACTACACAACTATGACAAACCACTACACAACTATGACAAACTACTACACAACTACGACCAAACCACTACACAACTATGACCAAACCACTACACAACTATGACAAACCACTACACAACTACGACCAAACCACTACACAACTATGACGAACCACGACACAACTGCGACCAAACCACTACACAACTATGACAAACCACTACACAACTATGACAAACTACTACACAACTACGACCAAACCACTACACAACTACGACCAAACCACTACACAACTACGACCAAACCACTACACAACTACGACAAACCACTACACAACTACGACCAAACCACTACACAACTACGACCAAACCACTACACAACTACGACCAAACCACTACACAACTATGACAAACCACTACACAACTATGACAAACCACTACACAACTACGACCAAACTACTACACAACTACGCCCAAACCACTACACAACTACGACCAAACCATTACACAACTGTGACCAAAGCAACTACACAACTCCGACCAAACCATAACACAACTCCGACCAAACCACTACACAACTCCGACCAAACCACTACACAACTATGACAAACCACTACACAACTACGACCAAACCACTACACAACTACGACCAAACCACTACACAACTACGACCAAACCACTACACAACTACGACCAAACCACTACACAACTACGACCAAACCACTACACAACTCCGACCAAACCACTACACAACTCCGACCAAACCACTACACAACTCCGTCCAAACCACTACACAACTATGACAAACCACTACACAACTACGACCAAACCACTACACAACTACGACCAAACCACTACACAACTATGACAAACCACTACACAACTATGACAAACTACTACACAACTATGACCAAACCACTACACAACTATGACAAACAACTACACAACTACGCCCAAACCACTACACAACTACGACCAAACCATTACACAATTGTGACCAAAGCAACTACACAACTCCGACCAAACCATAACACAACTCCGACCAAACCACTACACAACTCCGACCAAACCACTACACAACTATGACAAACCACTACACAACTACGACCAAACCACTACACAACTACGACCAAACCACTACACAACTACGACCAAACCACTACACAACTACGACCAAACCACTACACAACTACGACAAACCACTACACAACTATGACCAAACCACTACACAACTACGACCAAACCACTACACAACTACGACCAAACCACTACACAACTACGACCAAACCACTACACAACTATGACAAACCACTACACAACTCCGACCAAACCACTACACAACTATGACAAACCACTACACAACTATGACAAACAACTACACAACTCCGACCAAACCACTACACAACTACGACCAAACCACTACACAACTATGACAAACCACTACACAACTACGACCAAACCACTACACAACTACGACCAAACCACTACACAACTCCGACCAAACCACTACACAACTCCGTCCAAACCACTACACAACTATGACAAACCACTACACAACTACGACCAAACCACTACACAACTACGACCAAAACACTACACAAGTATGACAAACCACTACACAACTCCGACCAAACCACTACACAACTCCGACCAAACCACTACACAACTATGACAAACCACTACACAACTACGACCAAACCACTACACAACTACGACCAAACCACTACACAACTATGACAAACCACTACACAACTATAACAAGCTACTACACAACTACGACCAAACCACTACACAACTATGACAAACAACTACACAACTACGCCCAAACCACTACACAACTACGACCAAACCATTACACAACTGTGACCAAAGCAACTACACAACTCCGACCAAACCATAACACAACTCCGACCAAACCACTACACAACTCCGACCAAACCACTACACAACTATGACAAACCACTACACAACTACAACCAAACCACTACACAACTACGACCAAACCACTACACAACTACGACCAAACCACTACACAACTACGACAAACCACACTACACAACTACGACCAAACCACTACACAACTACGACCAAACCACTACACAACTACGACCAAACCACTACACAACTACGACCAAACCACTACACAACTATGACAAACCACTACACAACTATGACAAACCACTACACAACTACGACAAACTACTACACAACTACGCCCAAACCACTACACAACTACGACCAAACCATTACACAACTGTGACCAAAGCAACTACACAACTCCGACCAAACCATAACACAACTCCGACCAAACCACTACACAACTCCGACCAAACCACTACACAACTATGACAAACCACTACACAACTACGACCAAACCACTACACAACTACGACCAAACCACTACACAACTATGACCAAACCACTACACAACTACGACCAAACCACTACACAACTCCGACCAAACCACTACACAACTCCGACCAAACCACTACACAACTCCGTCCAAACCACTACACAACTATGACAAACCACTACACAACTACGACCAAACCACTACACAACTACGACCAAACCACTACACAAGTATGACAAACCACTACACAAGTATGACAAACCACTACACAACTCCGACCAAACCACTACACAACTACGAACGCTGAGAAAAGACAGGAGAGCACGAGGACGTCACGGCGGACTGTCTTCCATTCGCCGCACGGTGAGCTGGAAGCGTTTGGTCGTCTCCGGTAAACGACCAGTCATAAAAGGCCCCCACACATCCTGTTTCCATGGAAACTGTGTGTACGCACTCTGGAAAGTGTGTATGTGTGTTTGATAAGGTGATTGAGACAGTGTAAAGTACAATACAAACTCTGAACATTGTAAAGTGCTTTGGGTGATCTTGGTCAGAAACAATGCACTGTATAAATAAACATTACTTAAAAACATTGTCATTTCCAACAACGTAAAAAATGTAAACCAGTGAAAAGATCCTGGAAAAACAAATGTTTACTTTTAAAAATGCTAAAAGGTTCAATTCATTTGGAGTAAGTAATCTTTATCATATTATTGTTTATATTAGATTAAAACAATATTTTTGTATGGGCTGACAGTGGCTCAGTTGGTAGAGCATTGACAAGACCTACTTCACGACTCCCACTGATGACTGCTGTTGTTGTGTCCTTGGGCAAGACACTTAACCCCACTTTGCCTGAAGCCCCCGCTGAAAGATAAAGGCTCCTGTGGACTCAGTGAGGGGCTGGTGCTCTGACTGCCACCCCCCCCTCCGACCCAGACACGGATAAAGGGGAAGAAGATGGATGGATATTTACATAGCGCCTTTCTCAGACCAGAGTCAAAGTGGTTTACACTTGTGGGCATTAGTCTGTCACTCACACAGAGATGGGAGGGGCCAGTACAGGAGGCACAGACCTATTGTACATGTTTTTAGTTTAGTTTAGTGTACGTTTGGTTTCAAAGGTGATTTGTCAGAAAGCGTTGAAAACATATTTCCCCAATGTCCTTGTTCTGTCTCAGTCTCACACTTTCTTGGAGAGATTTTGCTTCTGGTCCATCTGCACTTTAGCTGTAATCCTCACAACAGGCCACAGCTCATACTCACGGCAAACATGATCTTCACACACAGACACACACACACGGACAGATGCAGAGAGACACACACAGACACACACGCACACACACGGATACGCACAGACACACACACACATACACACGCACAGATGCACAGAGACACACACAGACACACACGCACACAGCACAGGTACACACACAGATGCACAGAGACACACACACACACAGCACACGCACACAGACACACACGCACACACAGACACACGCGCACGCACACAGACACACACACGCAGACGCACACACCGACACACACATGCAGAGGCACACACAGACACACACACGCACAGAGACACACACACGCACACACCCTATACAGACGCAAACATACACACACACACAAACAAACACGCACATACATACAGACGCAAACACACAGAAACACAAACACGCACACACATGCAGAGGCACACACAGACACACACGCACACACAGACACACATACACACGCACAGATGCACAGAGACACACACAGACACACACGCACACAGCACAGGTACACACACAGATGCACAGAGACACACACACACACAGCACACAGACACACACGCACACACAGACACACGCGCACACAGACACACAAACACACACGCAGACGCACACACAGACACACACGCACACAGACACACAAACAAACACACGCAGACGCACACACAGGCAGAGGCACACACAGACACACACACGCACGCACGCACAGAGACACGCACGCAGACACACACACGCACACACATATACAGACGCAAACATAACACACACACAAACAAACACGCACACACATACAGACGCAAACACACAGAAACACACACACGCACACACATGCAGCGGCACACACAGACACACACGCACACACACAGACACACACGCACACACAGACACACACACGCAGACGCACACACAGACACACACGCACACACATGCAGAGGCACACACAGACACACACACACACGCACAGAGACACGCACGCAGACACACACACGCCCACACATATACAGACGCAAACACACAGAAACAAACACACACAAACACACACAATCTGGAACCGTCTTCCTGAGAATGTGAGACGGGCCTCGCCACAGGCAGCTTCCAAACCCGGGTCAAAAACTGTTTTGTTTTTCTACAACTGAACGATTGTATCTTTGATTTATCTTTACTCTTTTAAAGCACTTTATATTTATGATTTTAATCCCAGGTCTGATTTTAATGTGAATGTTTTTAACTACTTATTGTTTATGTTTTTAATATTTCTTCTACTCTTATTGTGTGTTTTCTTACTGTTTGTGTAGATTTTAATGATGATTTTTGCCTGATGTGATTGTGAGGCGCTTTGTGTTGCTTTGTGTAGGAAAAGATTATTTGGATCCGTTTCAGCTTTTGTCTCTCCTGGTTTAGTAAAAGAATCTTTCCAAGCATACATTTGAAAAGCCGGCACGATCAATCGAAACAATATCGTTATCGCGATATTGGTGCGTTTGATATCCGTATCGGAAAGATGCACAATGTTTTTTTCCTTTATTAAAAGGACAACAAAACAGACATTCAACAAGAACAACAAAATGTATTATTTGTCACTTGCGTTTTAATGCAGATCGCAATTTTAGGTGAAACACAAAAATATCGCAATAATATCGTTATCGAAATACTGAACACTCATATCGAATATCGCTCTAATTTCCAATATCGTCCTATAATTGCCGCGACCCGGCAACGGATGAAGCGGAAGAAAATGGATGGATGGATGGATGGATGCTACAATTGAAAGTACTTTGGCATCTACAGCCCACAGTGACAGGGTTGGTGACGGTTGCAGCCAGTTACGGACGGACGGACGGACGGACGAATGAATGAGTATTAATGAGTGAATGAATGAATGAATGAATGAGTATTAATGAGTACTGTGTGATCAGGG